CAGAACAATGAGATTCGGGTTTACTCTGCCTCCCAGTGGGACAGCCCCCTGAGCCTGATCTCCCACCCACATCGTCATTTTCAGCACCTTACACCCATCAAGGTGAGTGACAAAAGGAAGGTCTATGATTATGGGAATGGGCCAGATTTTGCCAAGCTGGGGAAAGGGTCACATATGCAGCCTACAATCTCAGATGCTGTCTTTCCCTTAATCCTTTGGCTCTGTCTGCTCCTTTTATCCCATTTCTGTAATTCCATTCAGAGTTCAGGTAGGGTCTTATAGTAGCCCAGGCTGGACTGGAATTTGCTCCATAGACCAGGCTAGTCTGACCTAGTAGAGATCACCTGTTTCTGTCTCCCAAGTGCTTTGTATTAAAGGCAGGCACCACCATCCACACAAATCACCCATTGAGTTTTCTTAGTGTATTTGATAAGCTAATTTCCTAAGCTTTTCAGCCCAATGTTGATCTTACTATGGACATTTTCTATGACCTTGACCTCCTTTGTTCTGCCTTCTGTTTGAGTTACCTATGTGTGCAGCTGACCCATAAGTTAATCAAACCTTGGATTGTCTTGCAGGTTTAAGTGGTCCCTAATAGTAGAAATAAGACTCTTAGTTTTCCGATTTAGACCTCTGTTTCATCTGTAAGAGAGAATAGGGTTTTGTGAGGATGAGTCAGGGTACATAAAACATTGGGCACCATGCCTAGCACTTGGTAAGTATTTAAGAGACAACTTACTATCCCACATACTTCAGATCATTCTACTCAGGAGGTAGATGCAGGTGATCTCTATGAGTTCAAGGCCAGCCTGGTCTACAGAGAGTGTTCCAGGACAGCTACACAGAGAAACAACAAACAAAAACAAAAAATTTCTGAAACCAGGTGCTGTGGCTCATGCCTTTAATCTTAGCAATTGGGAGGCAGAGCCAGGTGGATCTATGGTTCAAAACTAGCCATGATTACATTGATATCCTGACACACACACACACAAAGATTTTTCTGGGGATGTTGCTGAAAGGTAGAGAACTTCCATATAGCATGAACAGTGCCTTAGGGAAGGGGGAGGGCACATGAAAACAGGTGTAGTGGTACTCATTGGTAATCCTAGTACCTGAAGGTAGAAGCAGGAGCGTCAGGAGTTCAAGGTCAGTTATTGCTCTCAATAGGCTGTGTCCTCATCCCATCACGTCCATTGATGCCAACATCCACCTGTCAAGTTTTTGCAACTACTTCTAAGCATGTACTAATTCTATTCTTAATTACTGTATATTTATTTGTGCATGTATATCTGTGTACCATGTGCACACCTGGTGTCCTTAGAGGTCAGAAGATGGCATGGGGTCCTCTGGAACTGGAGTTACAGATGGTTGTGAGCTGATGTTTTACGTGTTAGGAAACCTGTCCTGGAAGAGCAGCCAGTGCTCTTAGTCATTGAGTTGTCTCTCCAGCCCAATTGTCTCTCCCTCTTCTTTTGTTTTTGTCTTTCTTCCTTCAAAACTGCCTTGAAGCCATGCATGGAGCACACACCTATAATCCTAGCACTTTAGGTTGAGGAAGGATTGCAGGTTTGAGGACTGCTGGGGTTATACGGTACAAAAAAAATAAGAACTGTTTTGAAAATAAGTCACACCAATAACTGCCAGATCTGTTTTGAATAATATGAACCAAGGAATGCATGTTTTCTTTCTTTCCCCCTTCCTACTCGGACTGCACATCTAAGTCTTCGTTATTTGTGGGTAGAGAAGGATCAGTTGTAGAGTCACTTAAGAACCTAATCCTATTTGGTGTTATTTCCTAGAGGCTTATCTCTTAGGTTTAACTATGTTAGTCTTTTTTTTTTTTAAACTTATGTTAGTCTTAACATTTGTTAAGAGCCAGAGGTGTTTAGTGGTAAAGCCCTTGCCTAGTATGCACAAGGCCCTGGGTTCAGTCCCCAGAATTGCAAAACAAACAAACAAACTAGCAATAACAAAACAAAAATGCCCAAGTTGGTATGACCTTAAGAAAATGCAAGAGAGGAGTGGGAGAGATGGCTCAGTGCTGCTTTTGCAGAGGACCTGGGTTCAATTCCGAGCACCTACATAGCAACACACAACTTTCTGTAACTCCAGTTCCAGTTGATCCAGTGCCCTCTTTTGGCCTCTGCAGGTACCAGCTACACATGCAGTACACTTATATACATGCAACCAAAGTACTCATACACATAAGATAAATCTTCATCAGATGGTGCACACATTTTTCCCCCATTCTTCTGTTTTTGTTTTTCCACACACAGTCTCTCTGTGTAGCCCTGGCTGTCTTGGAACTCGTTCTGTAGAACAGGCTGGCCTCAAACTCATAGAGATCCACTTGCTTCTGCCTCCCAAGTGCTGGGAGTAAAGGTGTGCACTGCTGCCACTACCACCACCACCCACCCAGCTGGGGCATGTGTTTAATCCAGTAGTTTAAGGCCATCCTGATCTACAAAGCAAGTTCCAGGACAACCAAGAGTACTATCCAAAATAAATAAATAAATAAATAAAATATGGGCTGGAGAGATGGCTCAGAAGAGTGCTGGCTGCTCTTCCAGAGATCCTGAGTTCAAGTCCCAGCAACATGTTGGCTTACAACTATCTATAATGAGATCTTGAGCCCTCTTCTGGTGTGTAGGCATTCATGCAGGTAGAACAGTATATACATAATAAATCTAAAAAAATAAAAATTAAATAAAATAGAAGCTGGGCAGTGAAGGCCCACACCTTTAATTCCAGGCAGAGACAAGTAGATCTCCTTGAGTTCAAGGCCAGCCTGATCTACAGAGCAAGTTCCAGGACAGCCAGGGCTACACAGAGAAATCTTTAGAAAATTAAGCCCACTTTCATTAATTTCATGCCTGTATACTCATGCCACAGTAGGCAAAGTGGTCAGATTTGCTTTTCCCCTCCCGCCACATAGGCCCCAGGGATCAAACTCAGGTTATCAGGCTTGGTTGGGGTCAGGTGCCTTTATCTATTGAGTTATCCAGCTGGCCCTCATGTTTGTGTTATATGAGGTATTGGGTTCTTATTGGCCTTATTAGTCGTTAAAAAATTGGGAAAAATATGCAGAGAGAGAGAGAGGACACGACTCGTGTGTGTGTGAGGCTGGGACCAAACACACAGTCTTGTGTATGCTATGTAATAAGTACTCTGCCACAGAACTAAATATCCAGCCCTTTAAAGAATATTTTGTATGTTGAGGCCAGAGGTTAACATCAGGTATCTTCTTCAGCTGTTCCCCATTTATTTTTGAGATGGGGTCTCTCACTGATTTGGCTGGACTAGATGGCTAGCAAGTCCCAGGTGTCCTGTCTCCACCTCCCCAGGTGTGATTACAGGTGCATCATGACAAAATTTCTGCATAGGTCCACCTGTGCGGCAAGCCTATCACCAACTGGGCCGTCTCCCCTGGCTTCAAGAATACTGATGTCTCTTTATGTTCTGACCGACCTCTCTCATTTCCTAGGCATCCTGGCATCCGAGGCACAACCTCATCGTTGTGGGCCGATACCCAGACCCTAATTTCAAAAGTTGTGTTCCCTATGAACTAAGGACAATAGATGTGTTTGATGGAGACTCAGGGAAGATGATGTGCCAGCTCTATGATCCAGGATATTCTGGTATCACTTCGGTGAGACTTGAACCCTCAAACAGTGATGGGAGGAAGCAGGGAGTTGAGCTATCTTTCTGATCAGAATGTATCCCCATGTACCCTGCTGCCTCTGTACTGCCTTCACCCCACTTTCACACTGAAATTCTTACCTTTGCAGCTCAATGAGTTCAATCCTATGGGGGACACACTGGCCACTGCCATGGGTGAGTAAAAGCAACTGTATCTGAGACTAAGTCTGACCCTATCCCTAAGTTTCAAAAGAGGCTAAATTCACTCTAGCCCTGCCCTATTCATCCCAGGGCATGGGCAATAAAGAAATCTGGGAGACAGTGGTCTCTGGCCCAGATCACTCATCTGGCTTTGTGTTAGTCATGACAGTGTGAGGATATTATTCAGTCTGCTAGCTCCCCGTGACAGCCCCGAGCTCTGAGACCAGTAACAGAAGGTGTCAGTCAGACTTCTTGTTACTTCTAGGTTATCATATTCTCATTTGGAACCAAGAGGAAGCCAGGTCACATGAATATCACAAAAGACAATGAAGAGGACATGAGACAGCAACATCTGAACCCCACACGTGGGAAGAAGTTCTGTGAGAAGAGGCAACTGTTTGTTAAGGGACCAGACGTACCCAGGGTTGGAGTAGGGACACTTGTGACGTGGGATACTGTGGGACTAAGATATTGCCATGTTACTGCTCTAGATTTTGCTCCAGAAAACGGAGCAGAGGTCCTGCGCTAAGGGTCCCTGCTGTCTTTAGACTGGAGCTAAGTTTATCCTAGAGCCAAGGTACTTTTCTTTTTCCTGATGTGTGGTAGCAGAATAACCAGGGAATTTCTTAAAATTTATGTTCAGTCTTTACATGGCCAATAAAAGCATTTCCTTTGTACACCAACTAAAAAACCCAAAGCAGCTGGGCTTCTGAGCAGACCTAGCACAACCTGTAAGAGTGCTGCTTGAGTGTCAGAGTGGGGGAGACAAGAAAGGCACAGAGCCAGCATTCAGTCAGACCTTCATTTCTTCCGAGTCCCTGCATCCCTAAACAAGTCCAGTTCAGGTCTGAAGAGCCCAGTCCAGCTGCGGGAGACTCACTTCATGATGTGTCTCTCTCCTGCCTGTGTCCTCCCACTCATCCAGGTACAGTACACATAATCTTTCAGACCTGCCTGAGACCCTGCTCAAGCCAAGGGTCGACACTAACAGTAGCCTCAGCCACATGGAAACTCCACTGTTGGATGACCCAGTTCCTTGACAGCCACATTTTACACTCCCAGTGATTTGCAGTTTTTGCCTCTAAAAAAAAGTACCAAGGGACAATGTCCTCTATGCCATTTTCCAAAGGTGTGGGCTAGAAGACAAAGAGCAAGGCAGGTCAAGCACCGGCTTCAGTTTTGTTTTGTTTTTGTATCCCAGGTCCTGAGTGGAAACTGAATCCTAGTCTGTATCTCAGGTCCTTAGGGAGTATAGGAGAGACAGATCCCATCTGGAGAGAGCCAGTGTCCAGCACAGCGCATGGTAAACACCAGGTGTGTAGATGGTGAGTCACAGGTTCACAGCCAGTGTCCAGCACAGCGCATGGTAAACACCAGGCGTGTAGATGGTGAGTCACAGGTTCACAGCCCAGGAGAGCCTCACTCATTCATCTGGGCTTAGGTAATCAGGGAGGCTAAGCGCTGGGATCAGCTCACCTCCCCTAGGAAGCAGAGGAAGGGGACTGAGTGGTTGTCAAGCATGGTCTTCCCTGTCTGCAACATGGTGGTAGCCAGGAGGCTGAGCCTGCATCCGGAAGAGGACAGTGAGGAGCAACACTATTAGAAGGAAGAGGATGGAGCCACAGACAGCCAAGGCCACAATCACCTCTGGGCAGGGGAGGGAAAAAGAAAGGTAACATTAGTATTCACCAGACAAATACAGACACAGAGCACTACCCCATGCCAGGTCCTGTCTGGACAAAATACAAACATAGAGCACTACCCCATGCCAGGTCCTACAAAGGTGGTCAAGACAGTCTGCTCTTATGGCGTTCACATTCTGGTAATGACACATTAGTGATGTTGTATGAGCAAGGTAAGTTCCTCAGAAAAGAAATCACTGAGGAAACAGGAGCGGAGACCTGGAGTCAAGAAGTAAAACAGGCCAGGCGGTAGTGGCACACACCTTTAATCCCAGCACTTGGGAGGCAGAGGCAGGCAGAGCTCTGTGAGTTCGAGGCCAGCCTGGTCTACAAGAGCTAGTTCCAGGAGAGGCTCCAAAGCTACAGAGAAACCCTGTCTCGGAAAAAACAAACAAGTGAAACAGATCTGAGAATAGAGTGCCACGGGGTGGGGGCATAGGTACACAAGCAAGTACAAAAGGGCCTGATACTGAAGTAGGATTGGGGTTCTGGATTCAACAAGAAAATATCACTGGAGCAGAGTAAGCAAGGGGCACTAGGAAACAGGAGACAACCAGGCCAAGTGCAGGCTGGGTGGTCATGGTGGAGAACTTGGGTTTGGTGTGTGATTAGTATACACATACACATAAAATTAAAAAAAAAAAAAAGCCATGATCTTACATAGCCCAGGTGTCTGGAACTGGCTATAGGCATAGGATGACCTTGAACTTTAAATCCTCCTTCCACCTTAGTGCTGGAATTAATTCCACCCAGTGCTGGGGACTGAACTCACCGTTTCTTCCCTGTGTGCTAGGCAAGTGCTCTTTCCACCAACTGAGCTACACCTCTAGCCTCAATTTATATATTTTAAGAAATTAACTCTGCTGTGTTGAGACTGGTAGAGACAAGAATAGACCCAGAATGAACATTAGGCTTTTGAGCAATCCAGGCAAGAACTGATAGCGTTAGACTGCAGAGGCGAGAGCTCAGTGTCCAAGAAGCCAAGCAGACAGAATCTGTGGGACTGGGTGGTGGAGTACGAGGAAGAGAATACCCAGTGTTAGATTGTGCAGCTATGGGACTACCGTGGCATCTATTAAATTGAGGACTATAAGATGAACAAGTAGATCCCAGGGGAAGAGACGCTGTTTTAGACAACTTAGCTGCCTCATTCAACCCATGTAAAGAAGAGGCCTCAAGTCAGCAGCAGCCATAAATCTGTAAGTCATACCACACAAGTAGAACTTAACTTACTATGGAGATGAGGTAGGGGAGCCATGTGGTCTTAGGAGTCAGGATAGATAGGAAAAGAGCTAGGGACAAGCCTCAGGCCATTCATTGTTCAGTGAAGAGAAAACCATGAAGGAAGTTAAAGTGAAGACCAGAAGTCATGGAAATGTTACTGTTTTGCAGTGCTGGGTAGGGAATGACTCCAGGGTTTCAAAAATATTAGCCATGGCTTCTGCCACTGAGCCGCGTCTGCAGCACTCAGAAAACATTTAAGGAAGGAGAGAAGCTGACTAAATCGGTCATCACAGTAAAAGGTGACACCACTGTTTCAAGTCAGTCTGAGGAAGTAAAGCCAGAATGTAGGCAACTCTTTGAAGATTTTTACCCAGAGGGATCACAGAGAGAAAGTGAGTCTCAGAAGTCTGTTACGCTTTGCAATGGGAGTGATCCAGTAGAGAGGGGGGCATATTCCCGATGAAGGGGAGAAGAGACCAACACAGTCTAAGTGGAGGCTGGACTTGACCACTAGCTTATACAAGCAGGTAAACTGGTAGATGAGGCAGGACAAGGAGGGTGAGGAACGGGGAGAGTATATAAAAACAGTACTAGGGTTGAAGAGGCTCTCCAGGGAAGGGCGGAAGACGGCTGGCCCAGGACATTAGCACAGAAGCAGGTGGCAGCTCACCTGTATCTGCAGTGTCACTTATGAGCTGGCACTCCTTCTGCCAGTCCTTGGGTATGACAGGCTCTGTGAGGCGAAGGAAGTCCTGCAGTGGGCAGCGGTGAGGGCAGCCAGGCAGGATCAGAGGCCAGGGTGCCTTCTTACTGTCATTCCGAAAGTACATCTCAACTGAGAAATTCCTGAGAGTTAACAGGAGGCAAGATGGGGGATGCTCACCATGCCCAGGATGGAGTCTCTGGGCTGCCTTCAGGGAACACCCTGGTAGTTCCACTTACCCATCATCTTCCTGATACAGTTCAAACATGTGGCAGGAAGCGTAGGGAGCTTGTCTCCCATTGTAGACATTCAGTGCCATTTGCAAAGCAACAAGGGTAGTATCATGCTGTAAGGGAGAAGGGCTGTTTGCTCCTCTGCCTCCCAGGAATGGAATCGGGAAAATACCCAATTCCTGGTTGGACTCCAAAGTGTTAGGGATTTGGAGCTTACCGCAGAGTAAACCAGAAGCTTAGGGAATTGAGAGGTGGTTGCCATGAGTGTCAGGTTCTTCAGTATCTGAGCCAGCAGAACTCCTGAAGAAGAGAAATCCCAAGTGTCGGTGTCCTGAACTGTCACTGATCCGCTTTTCTGACCATCTGCTAAAAGTCTAGTCACCAACCCAGGGAACTCTGCACCGCCCACTACTAAGAACTGTCAAGTCTACCTGGGACACAGATAAAGCAGGTTATTAGTACTTAAACTCAGGTGCAAAAACTTGAGCTAGGAGGCCCTGATCATGACTGCTTTAACAGTATGAATGCTTCACAGCACCTGAGATGGTGGGCATGTCAGGGCGACTGCTGTATGCAGGTTCTGAAAATGACTGCATTGTCAAAGGTTTGAGAATGCATACCCTTGAATGCTTAAATGAAGCAACTGACACATGCGTTGCCCTCGGCCTTTTCTCCAAGGGCCTTTAGCAGGTCTCTGGAGGGAGGCTTGCAGTTAGGAAAGAGAAAGGGTCTTCTGGCATGGCAGGCCAGATGTGCTGGCACACCTTTAATCCCAGGAATCAGAAGGCAGAGACAGGTGAATCTCTGTGGTTTGGGGCTGGCCTGGCTGGAGCTACATAGTGAGACCTGTAACTCAGGCTGAATAGTAGAGAACCAGGAGATTTGGGTGACTAGCAGAGATAGCAGAGGGGAGATTTGTTTTTAAAAGAGCAGAGAACTGTCTTAGGCAGAATAGTGTGTGAGAAGCTCCCACAGTAGGTTTTTAATGCTGGAGTTTTGGGGAGGGTAGTGACATGCTGTTTTGTGTCACTTACCACCCTGAAGTCGGGCCTTCTGTACTTGCTCGTGGATCCCGAAGAGGAAGAGGAAGCTGAAGTCCTTTAGCTGGCTCAGACGTTGCACGGTTTGGGGTGAGGCCCAGGGCGGCAGGAGCAGCCCATGTGTTTGCTGTGTATCGCAGCGGGCAGGTTAGCTCCCTAGGCCTAGGCCAGAGCCTCTCCAGGGGTGGCTTTCTTCCCCAGGTGGGGAAGGTGCCTGTGTGTGTGAGGGAGGAAGAGGAGAGCAGAGGTGAGGAAGAGGGGCTATTGCAAACATGGCAGACAGCAGGGCATTGGAAAGGGAGCTCGAGCATGAAGAGCAGACTCAGCAGAAAGAAATCTCACAGTACTGAGTTCGAGATGGAGAAGGATACAGAGTGCTGACAACTAGTAAACCATTTCCCACTCTGAGGTTCTTTTTACCCAGGAGGGAAGTTCCCAGGTTACATAAGCACTGGCTTGCTGGGCCTTCCCAGTGGGGATGGCAGTAGCCAAGCAATGTGCTCTATTATTGCCCTAGAGATCTGGACCTGCTGAGGAGAGAAGAGTAAGCCCAACAGGCACCCTGGTCAGCTCACCTCACAAAAGAGTGTGTCATACACATTCCAGATGGTCTCTAGGGTCAGGTTCATAAGCCCTGTCTCATTGGCCACCATGTCCAGAAATTGCTAGGAAAAATGGATCAGGAGATCAGTACTGTTCTGAGTAAAGCGCAGTCTGATGACTTACACCTCAGCCCCCACTTACTGCATTCTGAATACTCATATTCTTATACTCTAGAGTCTGCCGAGTCTCATTCTGCAGCTGCTCATAGTGGGGACATGGACCCAACGGAAACTTTAGCAGCTGCAAATTAAAGAGAAATAGGCAGAGAAGCCTGGATCAGTAGGCCGCGATCATAGTTGTCCCTTCTCTACTCCAGTCCTCTCACTCCTGGCTGGTCTTACCCTGTCTTCAGTGATGGGCACAGTGTGAACAGGGATGGGCTGCCATGAAATGTTGGGGTTGAAACGTTGCACTTCATTGGGAGGGAAGAGTCCAGCCAGGTTGGCCTCAGCACTCATGAGAGTACGGTCAAAGTCAGTGCTTCGCACATAAACCTGTAAATTGGCAACACAGATCTCTCTTTGTGTGCAGAAGTACTCTGGCTTCTCACTGGAGCCCCAGGGGAAACCTGTTCTGGATGGTTACTCAGCACATTTTAAACTTACCATGCATACACAGCCTATCTGGATCCTCCCTGTTCCCCAAGGCCCCAAACACTGAGCTATGAGCTATCACCAGTCTGTGGGAATGGCTCTAGTTCAAACCCTCCTTCCTCTTCATCCAAAGCACTCATTTGGTATGTCTGAGAGATTTGATTTATTGTGTATACAGTGTTCTACCTGCAGGCACCAGATCTCATTACAGATGGTTGTGAGCCACCATGTGGTTGCTGGGAATTGAACTCAAGACTTCTGGAAGAGCAGGCAATGCTCTTAACCTCTAGGCTATCTCTCCAGCCCTCCTGAGAGATTTTAATACCTGGCTTGTCTCCCATCATGACCAGAGCCCTGCCTTTCTGTGTCTCTCTCTCTTGAAGAGGCAGCTTCTGTCTCTCCCTTTTCCCCATTTCTCCCTTCCCCATTCTCTCTTTCTCTCTTTCTTTCTCTCTTTCTTTCTCTCTCTCTCTCTCTCTCTCTCCCTCCCTCCCTCCCTCCCTCCCTCTATCTCCTTTCACCCTTCTTCCCCTCCCTTCCATTACCCACTAAATAAATATCAAACTTGACTCTGAAAAAGAAAAAAGTCCTTGTTGGGCATAATGGTACACATTTGCCCCCCCCACCCCAAACCTGAGACAGGGTCTTACTATATATGTAACAATGGCTACAGACCCTGCCTATGCCAGAGTTGGACCCTTGGCCAGTTTTGTCTCTTCCCAGAGACAATTCAGACTCCAGAGCAGTATTCTAGACAGTTCTTAAATTTTTGTCCATGGACCAAAATTTCAAGAGGAAATCTAGAGTGCCTAGCCTTGGATTTTCTAAGGTCAGAAAATAATTCAAAAATCCCATTCCTCCTGCCAATCAAGTTCCCAGTCTTACCTCTTGTCGGTGGTAAGTGGTGTTCAGAAAGCCATGGTAGCGCTGCCTCAGAGCCTGGCCTAGCTCCCAGTGCTGCAGCATCCCCTCCTGTGGGCAAACCTGAGGGTTAAGGGAGTCCAGAAGGAAGGAATGGCTCACAGGTCCTATGACATTTAAGCATTCTTCCCTTGGCAAGGAGCGAAGTTAAGTGGTCACTTGTGAATGATATTGTCCCGGGCACAGAGTATTGTTAAGAAATCTGGTCATAGGGGCTAGAGAGATGGCTCAGAGGTTAAGAGCACTGTCTGCTCTTCCAGAGGTCCTGAGTTCAATTCCAGCAACCACATGGTGGCTCACAGCCATCTATAATGAGACCTGATGCCCTCCTCTGGCCTGCAGGCATACAGAACACCATATACACAATAAATCTTTTTTTTTTTTAAATCTGATGATACCCAGAGAAATAGTTCAGTGTACTTAGCGTAGACAAGGGCCTGGGTTTGACTTCCAAAACCCAAAAACAAAACAACAGTAAAACAGACATCTGGTCCATAAGAACCCATGTGGAAAACTAGCAGTTTAGGGAGGCTAAGTTTCTGGCCTCTGACCCACCTTGGTTAACTGACCAAAACCCTGGGGCCATTTCTCTTCCTGATAGGGGTCCTTGGGATATGTCTTCACTGGTGACCGATCTCCATGTCGATAGAGCTGGGTTAAAAACAATGGTTTGTCTACAGGTCAGAAGGGTCTTCTGGCTAAGGACAGGGCCCACCTCTGCCCATGTAGGAAAGCAAATCTCACTCCCTCTTGGAAGCCTTTCCGCTAAGTAACGAAAAAAGAACCCGAGTTCAGGAGGTTCCTAACAAAACCATGCAAAGTCAGAAGCACAGGTAGTGCAAGCAATGCATTCTGGAGGAGGAGGCGGCAGTGACTGGGAAAGCAAAGATCTTCGAAGTCGTCTGTATGGGTGACTCTCCACCTTTTGATTACATTCCCATCTTGGGAAAAATCATCCCCGGGAAGAATATACCCCAACATTACTTGGTCGCCCCGTTCTGCAAAATGGCCTAGGGCTCCAAATCAATTCTGAATCCAGTCTGGCAATCCACCACAGGCCAACTGCTTCCTAAATCAGTTCTTTCTTTCTCCTTGAAGTGAGGACCCCGACCCCAGAGCACAAGCTCTACCCCTCCTTCTACTAGCATAGCCGCCCTTTACCCTTTCAGCTTTGGAGAACCCGTCGGTGACTCAGTCACCCATTACCAAGGTAACAAAGCGCAGACTCCGGGCCTGGGTAGGTGGCATCACCGTTAGGCACATGCCAAGAAGAAACTGGAGAAGAGCTGCCTGGCTCCAACCAGACTGTCTGCCCGCCATCACCGTTGTTGGCTGTGCAGCAAAGGGGCCGGAACGCCTTGGGCGGTACCTGCTGCAGACGCCCGGATGCATTCGTAAGGACACTTGCCGGAAGTGCATTCTTCGCCATCTTTGTGCGCGCACCCGCGCGTGTGTGTCTGGTGGGTGAAGGCGGAATTTGTGGGTTACGATCGGCGGTGATGGACTAGCTGGGGAATGTAGCTTGATATTTCGAACTGAAAAGGCTTAAGGACCCCCCCTTTTTCTTGTAAATGCCCTAGGTCAAGCTTATCTCTTTCACTACCGGGCTGGTGCTTGCTCTGGGCGTGGTCTTAACCTGGGGAGCGAGCGCCTTCCTCGAAAGCTTCTGAGAGTGATCCCGGAGCCTCAGCTGGTGCAGAATTGGGGCGAGGTGTGGGGAAGTATAGAGCCTCACTTTCTGTGCCTGTCTTCTGTGTGTGGTTTGAGTCTTGGCTCTGGCTGTTTCCCTAAGTGGCCTTGTTTGGGGTGCAGGGCACTGCATGTAAACAACCCTTTGGACTCCCTGAGAATGGCCCGGTCTAGTCTACCATCATTTCCTGCACAAACCTTTAGTTTCCCTCTCACTCCCCAGTTGCAGCCTTCCCTGTCTTTGTCCATTTCTAAATTAAATTAGGCTCAAAACATCATGTTTCCTCTAAGGGGAGTTGAGTTGTATAGGTTGTTCAGATTTCCCAGACCCACTGCACTGAATTCCCATGGGAGGAATTTCAGACAGCTGGGGCTTTAGTTTGATTCAGGTATGTAACTGGATTTCCCACAGAGTGAGAGTCAGACATTAGCCTTAAGAATTTAGGGGCAGGTAGCCAGTCTGGCTTCCAGATTTTGTGACTCCAAACTATTAATGACAGTTTCAGGTCAGATCTTAGGCCCGTGGTATGCTTTTGATGCAGTTCTTCCGACTGTAAGCAAGCCCACCTCAGTATATCTGCCAAGTCTGAGAGAACTGTTACTGTCCCCGGACTCCAGATAAATTTGTGCCTAAACTTTACTTCCACTTGACAAAGACTGAGGAAGTAGAATAACAGGGCTTGAAAACTAGTTTTTAACTAAAGAACAAAACAAAAACACAAAAAGCCCCAAACCCTAGCTAGGCGGTGGTGGTGCTCCTCTTTAGTCCCGGCACTCATGAGGGCAGAGGCAGGCAGAATTCTGAATTTGAGGCTAGCCTGGTCTACAGAGTGAGTTCCAGGACAGCCAGGGCTACACAGAGAAACAACAAAGAAACCTTTCTGTGTATGGGCGTTTTGCCTGCCTGTGTACCTGTGAGATGCGTGCAGTGCCCTCGCAGGCCAAAAGAGCAACCAGTTCTCTTAACAACTAAGCCATCCCTCCAGCCTTTTGTTTGTTTTGTTGTTTTTGTTTTTCGAAGCAGGGTTTCTCTGTGTTGTCCTGACTGTCCTGGAACCCACTCTAGATCAGGCTGGCCGTGAATGCAAAGATCTACCCGTCTCTGCCTCCAGAGTGCTGGGATTAAAGGCGTGCACAGCCACACCCAGCTAGTTTTTAACTTTCTTAACCACAGGTTCCCTTATAAGTCATATGAAAAATCAGCTCTTTTCCCCGGAAAAAGTGACCAAACATGAACATAGAATACAATTTTGCATATAACCTCACATGATTCACAAAGATCCTCCATAGGTTTATAAGATAAGGATGCCAACCCAGAGAGAAGTGATTTGCCTAAGCTCACACAGTTAAGAGAATTCAAACTTGCTTGATTTTGTTGTGATTTGTCTTTTGATACAGGTTCTCAGACCCTCTGACACGGCCTGCTGTGCACTGGCATTGCAAGTGTGCATGGCCCAGCCAAGCAGTCTTCTTGCCCTCTCTCCCTCCCTTTCTTTCAGATAGAATTAGGATCTCGCTATATGGCCTAGGCTAGCTCTGACCTGCCTTACCTCCAAATGTCCAAAGCATATGTTGTCACACCTAGAAATGTAAGTGTTCTGACTTCTGACTGGTATATAATTAGTTGTCCTTTTTTTTTTTTTTTTTTTTTGGATTTTTGAGACAGGGTTTCTCCGTAGCTTTTGGTTCCTGTCCTGGAACTAGCTCTTGTAGACCAGGCTGGCCTCGAACTCACAGAGATCCGCCTGCCTCTGCCTCCCGAGTGCTGGGATTAAAGGCGTGCACCACCACCGCCCGGCTTGTCCATTTTTTTTTTAATGTCTATGAGTATGTTGCATGTGTAGAGATCAGTGAGAACTCCCAGAAGTCCATGCTCCCCCACAATGTGGGTAGTCAGGCTTGACAGCAAGTGCCCTTCCATGTTGAGCCATCTCACCAGCCCACCCCCTTAATATAAAATACCCTGGGCTGTGGTGGCACATGTTTTAATTCCAGCACTGAGGAGGCAGAGACAGGTGGGTTGCTGAGCTCCAGGCCAGGCTGGCATAGTTCTAGGACAGCCAGGACAACACAGAGAAACCCTGTCTTGAAAAAGGAAAATAAGGAATTTTCTTGTCATCTTTGTGTAGGGACTATGCAAATCCCTCTGTATTGTTCCAATTTTAGTATATGCTACAAAGAACACTGTAATGGACAGTTTCTTCTAAGCTCTTCAAACTGCATTTTTTTTTTTTTTGGTTTTTTTGAGACAGGGTTTCTCTGTGGTTTTGAAGCCTGTCCTGGTACTAGCTCTTGTAGACCAGGCTAGTCTCAAACTCACAGAGATCCGCCTGCCTCTGCCTCCCGAGTGCTGGGATTAAAAGCGTGCACCACTGCCCAGCTCAAACTGCATTGTTAAACTATATATGGTAGCCCCAAACTAGCTTGAGATTTTCCCAAAGAAAACCTGTTACATAAGTGGGATCAAAGCATGGCTAACTGACCAGTGCATATTATTTTGTAGGTCTACTGCCACTGCTTCTCATGTGCTGGTGTTATAGGCATGCCCCTCCACATACATGTCATGGAGTTGTTTTAAGACTATTTTATTTAGTATCCCAGCACAGGGCAGATTAAAGCAGGAAGATAAATTTAAGGACAGCTTCAGTTACATAGCAAGTTCAAGGCCAGGCTAGGCTACAGGAGACCCTGTTTCAAAACACAAACAAAAAATTTTACTGTAAACTGGGCGATGGTGGCACACACCTTTAATCCCAGCACTCAGGAGGCAGAGGCAGGTGGATCTCTGTGAGTTTGAGACCAGCCTGGTCTACAAGAGCCAGTTCCAGGACAGACTCCAAAGCCACAGAGAAACCCTGTCTCGAAAAACCAAAAAAAAAAAAAAAAAAATTAGTATAATGTTTACTCTGAAAAATTATCCAGGGCATTGTGCTTTCAGAATGTAAATCTTTAGCTCACCAAAGTAGAATGAAAATCCCTTATGCTGGGCTGGAGAGATGGCTCAGTGGTTAAGAGCACTGCCTGCTCTTCCAAAGGTCCTGAGTTCAATTCCCAGCAACCACATGGTGGCTCACAGCCATCTGTAATGAGATCTGGTGCCCTCTTCTGGCCTGCAGGAATGCATACAGACAGAACACTGTATACTTAATAAATAAATAAATCTTTAAAAAAAAAAAAAAAGAAAATCCCTTATGCTTACATGTGGTTGTGAGTCACTCAACATGGGTACAGGGAACTGAACACGGTCTTCTGTAGGAGCAGCAAGGGCTCTTAACTGGTGAGCATTCTCCACTAGGAGTATGAGCTTTTGAATCAGTTTTCCCTGTATTCAGTTTCTGATATTTATAACTTGTTAATGACCTCCTAAGATTTACCGTAAGAATACATGCAATAGCCGGGCAGTGGTGGCGCACACCTTTAATCCCAGCACTCAGGAGGCAGAGGCAGGTGGATCTCTGTGAGCTGAATGTCAACCTGGTCTACAAGAGCTAGTTCCAGGACAGGCTCTAAAGGTACATAGAAACCCCCTGTCTCAAAACACCAAAAACAAAAAAAAAAAAAAAAAAAAAAAAACAACAACAACATGAAATGATAACACATACAGAATATTATGAAGAAAAGCCTAAATCAATATTACTTTTCTTCTTTGTGATCTATATCTTGTCTGAACATACAGAGTTAGGAAACAGGGGTTCCTAGTCTTCTTTGTTTTGTGATTAGCAGTTTGGACAGAAGTTAGCCAGCATGAGTGGGTTCCCAGCACTCTGGAAGATGGCTCCCTTTCTTTCTACTCATCTAGAGCACTGAAAGAAGGATCCAGTAACTGCCCCAGCCCACCTCTGCAAACCATACTTTATGGCCTGCTTAGTGGAAAAGATTGCCTTTGAGGGGTTATTTACTGGTCTGTTTGACTAGGGCTCGTGGATGCTGCTATTTCTAGGCTGAGAAGCCACCTCTGGAAGTTTGGGGTGGAGGAATCAGAGATGTCACTTGTAAGAGTCCTCAAGGATGGGGCTGGAGAGATGGCTGAATGGTTAAGAGCATTGACTGCTCTTCCAGAGGACCTGAGTTCAATTCCTAGCACCCACATTGCAGCTCACAGCTGTCTGCAATTCCAGTTCCAGGGGATCCAACACCCTCACACAGACATACATGTGGGCAAAACACCAATGCACTACAAATAAATAATTAAAAAAAAAGGATGTTCCCAGGGATGTTGCTTCCTATGTGAGTCAAGAAAACATAGGAAAGGCCCATAGGACTGGGATGCCTTGGCCGTAGCACTGTGGGTGGATGGGACTGTGTCATGAGGGTAGGCCAGTGAAGTAGGACATGTGTGTTTCTAGCTGCTGATCACTTGATTGCTTGCCCTAACTTGGGGCAATGGGCAGTCACTGGAAAGTCTGTGGAGATACCATCAACAGGTTGTAGCTTTCCCCATTTTTCCCCTCTCCCTTCTCTTTATGCCAAGCTCCTCCACCACCTGTAACCTGAAGGGATGGGTAACTGTGGTGGTGAGGTACTGGCAAAACTGCCTCTTCTTCAGGAAACTGAGCTGTGCTGCTCCCTGGCTTGGGGAGGAACCTGCTTGTTCAGATCTACCTCTAGCCTGGGTTAGTGAGCTCCAAATTGGACTTGTGTATGTGTCTTCCTGGGGCCTGGGAAGCACCCTGGAAAAGTGGCTAGACAGTCAGGGGAAGGCGTAGAATTAGGAATGAATGAGAGACACTGTTTTTTAACCCCTAGAAAATATATCACAAGCCGGGCGGCAGTGACCCACGCCTTTAATCCCAGCACTCGGGAGGCAGAGGCAGGTGGATCTCTGTGAGTTTGAGACCAGCCTGGTCTACAAGAGCTAGTTCCAAAACAGGCTCCAAAGCCACAGAGAAACCCTGTCTCGAAAAACCAAAAAAAAAAAAAAGAAAGAAAGAAAGAAAAGAAAAAAGAAAATATATCACAGAGCTTCAGACCAATGTAACATCTCAAGTTCCTTGAAATGAGATATATCAGGGACATCTCTAAGTGTGCTACTAGGCTGGAACTCGGGCAAGGTAGAGAGCTATCTGGATACCTGGTGGGTGCTGAGCAGTCCTAATCTCTGCGCTGCTGTCCTTGGATGACAGGTCCTTGTGAAAATAGGGAAAGGAACAGAGAGTGGAGAGCCTTTTGCACATGATTCATAAGTGTCCAGACCAGGGTGGAGGCCTGTGAGGGGTGACCTTGTGATGAGAAGGAACAAGAGCAAAAGCCAGAGGCAGAACTGAAGATGGGGGCTGCCAGAGGGGCTTTTTCTGAATGTGAGAAATGAATACATGGGCAGATTTTGCAACACCCCCGCAGACTGCCGTCTTCCCTCACGAGTTCCCAGTCTCTGCCTGTTCCCTTGGCTCAGCCTGTGCTTCCTCTCATCTTCACCAAGCCCCTTTCTACTTCAGTTTTCTCGTCCTTCCCCCATCCTGTTCCTTCTGCCCCACCCCCACAACCAGTTCACTCTCCTGTTTCCTCTGTTTTCTTCCCTCCTGCCCCGTCTCTGTTTTGGTCCCACTGGCTGCTTGTTTGGCCCCTGTCCTATGCTTTAATGTGGACCCCTGGGAACTAGAGTTCACAGCAAAACAGGAAGAGCCTATGAGCAGGAAACTGGGAATGGGGCAGGAGGTGAATAGCCAGCAGTAACCTCAACTCCTGCTTCTCACATCTGAATTGAAGCATCTACAGAGATCTGTAGCCCACCAGCCCTGCAGCCCACCAGTCCTGCTGACCACCAGCCCTGCTGACCACCAGCCCTGCTGACCACCAGCCCTGCAGCCCACCAGCCCACCAGCCCTGCAGCCCACCAGCCCTGCAGCCCACCAGCCCACCAGCCCACCAGCCCACCAGCCCTGCAGCCCACCAGCCCACCAGCCCACCAGCCCTGCAGCCCACCAGCCTTGGCTTCTTCCATTTCAGAACTTTTCTCAGAGCCGAGAATGCTCTAGATTTGAACACAGGAAGAAAAGATCTGCGGGCCCGGAGAAAGGACATCTGGATTCTGACCTCAGCTTGGCCACTAACTGTGTGGTCTTTGGCAAGCTCTCAAGAGAACATCAGTGCATACTGTAAAATGGAGTCATTTACCCTGTCTACTTCCTTCTAGGGGTTGCTGTCAGAAACCAAAGAGATAGGGAGGAGGTTGCATATGGAAACAAAGATTCAAAGGGTTGACTGCATAGGCTCCAGGTGATGGGAAGACAAACTTCTAAAGGAACTGGGAGGGAAATGGCAGCCCCACCCGTCCCCTGACACACTGTGCTGGTTCTTATTCTCACATTGATCTTATGTGGCAAAACATTTATTATCATTATTATTATTTTTTTTTTTTTCGAGACAGGGTTTCTCTGTGGCTTTAGAGCCTGTCCTGGAACTAGCTCTGTAGACCAGGCTGGTCTCGAACTCACAGAGATCCGCCTGTCTCTGCCTCCCGAGTGCTGGGATTAAAGGCGTGCACCACCACCGCCCGGCTATTATTATTATTATTATTATTATTATCATCATCATCATCATCCCCACTCAGAGACACTAACTTGCTCACTCAAGATCATACAAGTGAATGGGGGCAAAGCTCAGCCAAGGAGTGCTTTCCTACCCTGAGTGGGGCCCTAGCACTGAGGTTTGAACCCAGACCCAATCAGAAATGACTATGCTGAGTTGAAATTAACTCAAGCTAATAAGTATGGAATAGAAGTGGGACTTGTTTGCTTCTTTACTTATCATTTAACAAACAGAAAGACAGTACTGTGCTTCCTCTCTAAGCCAGCTGCTTAATCTTGGGAGAGTAAATCAATGAAACGTGAAGTGTTCCTTCAGGGCTGAATCTTCTGTCCCAGGCTGCAGGAAAGCTATGGCTATGGCTGTAGATTCTGTGTGGCTCAGGACACCACCCCACATGGGACTGCTCCCTAGATAGGCGGCTTGCTTATCTTCTGAGATCTACACTGGGTGGGGCCCTTGGGTTGCTAGCTAGCATCTGCTCCTCTCCCAGGCCTCCCTTTCCAGGCCTCTTCCCTTCTCTACCCCCCCCCCCCCCCCAAGGGCACACACACTCAAACTCACTGGAAGGCCCAGCACCTGCCTGTCTTCACCCTCGAAGTTCTACCCGCTTGGCTCCGTCCTGGGGCTAGTGGGGAGAGCTTGGCGCCTTCCCAGAGGCAGGGGAGGAGGGAGGCTGGGAACACAGGCTGGGCCTTGGTGTCGCAATTCCGGGCCGTGCCGGGACCTTTGCTCCGCGAGGTGTCTATGGGGGGAGGGGGAGGGAACGCTGACTCTGGAGGCTGCTGGGATTAGGGTAGGGGTGTCTGAGAGCTGCCCTTCTGTACCAGCAAAGAGCCTCCGGTGAGGAGAGGAAGGAGAGAGATGAAACTGGCCCGGTTTGAGGGGGAAACGCGACAGTCTTGTTAGAGGGTAGGGGACAAGGTGGCGCCGGCTAAGGGGGTGGCCGGCTGGGGAGGAGTTAGGCTGGTGGGGAAACTACCTCGTGGGCGGGCGGGGGCCTAAGAAGGCTAAGGGCTCCCGGTTGCTGGAAGGAAGGACCCTTTGACAGTGCCCTCTCTCAGCCTTTCTTACTTTACTGCTTCTCCCTGCTGGTCCCCGTGTCCTCAGCTCTGGTCACTGGCTGCCCGCTGCGGCCTCGAGGACCGGGTACTGCAACGCCCTCTTCTCCAGCAAGGGGGCTCCAGAGACTAAGCAGCCTGAAAGTCTGGTGGCCGGGAGACTCGTCTGGTTGGCTCCTGGACAGTGACCCGGGGGCTCTCTCTGTCCTTGCTTCTGGGTTGGAGAGGGGTGGGATGGGAAAATTTTCTTAGGGAAGGATCTCTGGGGCGAAGTGTGGAGTACTGCCAACAGAAGTTCCGGGCAGGGATAGAGTTTTACTGGGTATCATAAGAACTGGAAGGGTTCTGGGAGAGGAGGTACTGGGGAGATTCTTGGGACGAGAACTTTACGCTGGGACTTCAGAAATGGCAGGGACTCAGAGTGAGCTTGGGTCCGGTCTGTTAACTTTGGCTGGCTATGCTGTTAGAAGGAGGTGGGTGCAGAGAAGTCAGGATTCTGCTCTTCCTCTACCACCTCCACCTGGGTGGCTATAGACAGTTACCTTAATCTCTTTTAACTTTAGTTTCCTTAGCTTTAAACTGGATCTAAGAATAGCCCTGACAAGCTGAGTGGTGGTGGCACACACCTTTAATCCCAGCACTGGGGAGGCAGAGGCAGTTGGATTTCTGAGTTTGAGGCCAGCCTGGTCTGCAGAGCTAGTTCCAGGACAGCCAAGGCTACACAGAAAAACTGTCTTGAAAAACAAAGAAAGGAAGGAAGGAAGGCAGAGTGGTCCTGCCAACCTAGAGGCAGATCAGCGGCAGACCTTTGAGTAACCTGCAGAAGTGCTGCATTCAGAATCCAGAACTGAGTTCATAGGGATCTAACACAGAAGGCTTCCAGGCCAGTACACGACAAGCGAATGTCAGTGGGTAATCTGAGGAGATAAAAGGGAGCACAGAGGGAGCCGAGGCCTACTTCTGCAAGTATAACCTGGTTCATTCCTGCAGGACAGTGTCTTGGTAATGTCCAGGGCTCCGGGAAGAGATGTCCTTGTGGCTGGAGGCTCCAGAGCCTGATGTTTGTCCTGGTAAGCTGCTTTATGCAAACCTTCTCCCTGAGCCCAGGCCTCTGCCTCCTCTCTGAGGCTGACACCTCAGGCATCAGTCCCTTCACTTCTGAGAAGCACAAGCTCTATCTATTAGTGTTGCTGCCTCTGCTCAGACCCTTTGCCACAGTTCTGGTGCTTGTTTGCTGAAAGCCCCATGAAGTCCTCGATCTGGGCTTCCTTCTTGGTAGTGCTGACACGGCTAATGCTTGGTTCTAGCTGTGGAAGTCCTGTCTGATCTATGAAATGGATGCTCTCTACCACTCCCAAGGGAACAAGAGCTAGCATCTACATTTAAGATCTTGATGTGCAAAGAGCTGCAACTGACTAGTCCTCGATTCCACAAAATCCCGGAATCTGAAAACATGAGCTGGGGCTTGGGTGCCTTCATTTTTGTTTGTTATTTTTTTTGAGACATCGTTGTGTAGCGTGGCAGTCCTGGTACTCACTGTGTAGACCAGACTGGCTTTAAACTCAGGTCCACCTGCCTCTGCCTCCCAGAGATTAAAGTTGTGCACCACAGCTCCCAGCTAGTCTGGCTGCTTTCTAAGGGTAGAGTGAAGTTTATAGCTTCCCAGCCAAGATACTTGGGGAAGGAGTCTAGATGGAACATGAACCCACTCTTACTCCCTTGTGCCTCTTTTGGGCTCAGATTCTGCGACAGAGTTGTGGAAGGCAGAAACCCAAGATGCAAAAGACCAGGGGGGCAAGAGCTGCGTCCTCAGGGAGGAAGCTAGGATGCCCCAATCTGCTGAAAGTGCCTTCAGAATGGGGTTGGAGGCAGCAGAGCCCACAGCCCTGCTCCCCAGGACAGAAGCTTTTCCAGAGCCTACAGGTAAGAAGCACCCAGATTCGGAAAAGGTAGGAGCTCTCTAGACCTGGGGGGGGGGGGGAGGAACTCTGGGGGCCTTTGCCTTCTAGTGTCACAGTTAAGTCCAAAAGCTCGTCCTGGCTGACTTTGGTGTGGATTTTGTCTGTCTCAGGCATTTCTGAATTTTCAGCTTCAATTTCTTTGTGATTTGAAATTAACCCTTATGATTGTCTTCAGGGTCAATACTTACAAAGAGCTCATACAAGGCATAGTGGTCCTTGGTAAAGGACGGCAAATGTTACAATACTATGGCATGCCCCAGTAATTCCAACTACTCTGGAGGTTGAGGCAAGAGTTGAGCCCAGGAGTTCAAAAGTTCAAAGCCCACCTAAGCTACATATTGTGAATCTGAGAGGTGGGGAGGGAGGAGGACATGCACATTGAGCATTTTGTCTGTCTGTATCTAGAGCTTCGTCCGCAAAAGCGAAAAAAGGGGCCAGCCCCCAAAATGCTGGGGAATGAGCTGTGCAGCGTGTGTGGGGACAAGGCGTCTGGCTTCCACTACAATGTGCTGAGCTGCGAGGGCTGCAAAGGATTCTTCCGCCGCAGTGTCATCAAGGGAGCCCACTATGTTTGCCACAGCGGTGGCCACTGCCCCATGGACACCTACATGCGACGGAAATGCCAGGAGTGTCGGCTTCGCAAATGCCTCCAGGCTGGCATGAGGGAGGAGTGTAAGTGCCCAGAGCAGGAACTGGGAAGAACTGATGGGAAAATATTGATGCCCTGTTGTGGAGGCAGACAGATGCTCACTCCTGCAGGGGTCTCCTGAGTGTAGATTAGTACTCCCTTAACCTGGCATAGTGGCACACACTTTTAGTCCCAGCACTAGGGAAGCAGAGGTGGATCTCTGTGAGTTCAAGGCCAGCCTGGTTTACACTGTGAGTTTCAGGATAGCCTAGAGCTTCACAGCGAGACCCTGTCTTGAAAAACAAAAGAAAAACAATAACAACAAAAGAAGAAAGAAAGAACGAAAGAAAAAAAAATGCCCTTGCTTTTACACACATCTTGTTTCTAGAGCATCAAACCACCCATCCCCTCTACCCCATCTCTGCCTCTTATTCACCCTTGTTCCTCTTCCTGCCTCACATCTGGCCCTGTCTTTAGGTGTCTTGTCAGAAGAGCAGATCCGCTTGAAGAAACTGAAGCGGCAAGAAGAGGAACAGGCTCAAACCACATCAGTGTCCCCAAGGGTTTCCTCAGCTCCCCAAGTCCTCCCCCAGCTCAGCCCGGAGCAACTGGGCATGATTGAGAAGCTGGTTGCCGCGCAGCAGCAGTGTAACAGACGCTCCTTTTCTGACCGACTTCGAGTAACGGTACTTGATGACCTGGGGAGAGGTGGCTGGGCCTGCAGCAGCAGCTAACTTCCGACTCACAGCAGTTTAACTTTTCCTCCCTTGCCCACCCTGGGTAGCCTTGGCCCATCGCACCTGACCCTCAGAGCCGGGAAGCCCGGCAACAGCGCTTTGCCCACTTTACCGAGCTGGCCATCGTGTCTGTGCAGGAGATTGTTGACTTTGCCAAACAGCTTCCTGGCTTCCTGCAGCTCAGCAGGGAGGACCAGATCGCCTTACTGAAGACCTCTGCGATTGAGGTGGCTGGAAAGGGAATGGGATAAAGGGAAAACCAGAGTAGGGTTATCTGTAGGGGATCTCCAGGTATCCAGCTTGGAGAGTCTGAGTCCTTAGGGAAGGGAGTCAACCTCCTTCCGAGGGCCACACACCAAGACCAGCCCCTTCGTGCCTGTTTGAAAGCTGCTGCTTGTGTGCAGGTGATGCTTCTGGAGACATCACGGAGGTACAACCCTGGGAGTGAGAGCATCACCTTCCTCAAGGATTTCAGTTATAACCGGGAAGACTTTGCCAAAGCAGGTGAGAGCTAAGACGGCCGTCGTGATTAGAGAGCCTAAGGTTTGGGTGGTTATACCACTTGTTTTTCCAAGAGAGAAGTTTGGAATGTTGATCAGTCACTTCAACTGCTCCAAACAGACCTCTGTCCTCTGCCGCATCTGAGGAGGTTATGCGAGCATCTTCATGGAGAGACCAGGCAAGGCAGAGCAGCGGCCTTCACTCTCGTTTTTGCCAATGAAACTACTTAAGTCTGCATTGTGCTTCTGCTTACTATTTAACAACATTCTGTACCTAAGAATTTTTTTTTGAGAATTTTGGCCTTTTAATAGACTAAAGGCAAGAAACCCTTTTCAGATAACGCTCTTTAAGGATCTTGCAGGCTCACTCACTCACCCTCACTCTCTCTGTCCCCCTTCCTGGTGAGCTGAATAACCCGCCTTGAAGCAGGACAAATATGCAAAATGGGGAGCTATAGGATCAGATCCAGTGTTTTCTCTAAGAATTGGTTTGCGTTGGTGCCGGGACCTGATGCTGCTCAGGACTAAGCAGTGGGGGTTTCCCTTATTCAGCTCTTGGTGATATTTATGAAACTGGAGATGGGAAGGGATGCAGGTCTGGAGGAGAGAGGCTGGGAAAGGGTGGCAGAAGTCTAGAGGAGACCGAAGATTTGGCAGCTGAGAGAGCAGACTGTGAAATACTGCTAACGTTCTGACTGTTCTCAGGGCTGATAGATCCTGGGTTCCAGGCCAGAGTTCAGGAAGCTTCCACTGGCAACTGGTGACTCAGGCCAACCAATGAACCTCTTGTCCCAGTGTGGGCCTTCTAGGAAAGGCCTCTCTTAACTACAGAGGCCAAGGCCCTGTCGCCTCCCTCTATTGCGTATTTTTTTCTTTTTAGTTTGTTGTCTGAATGTCTAGGTCCTCACTGGGCAATGGGTGACTCTATCCAGCCCTAACACCCAGTCCTGTCCCTCTTTTCTACCAAACACCTTTCCCTCAAATGGTTGCTAACTTAGACTTTCTTAACCCTTGGCTCTGTCAGAATACACTCTTTCCTGAGCCCTTCCTGTTCCTTCAGTACTTATGGACTTGTGCTATCCGAATCTGCACCAATTTATATGATTTCATTATTTAAGCAGTTTTGGTGTCACCATGTTTTCAGTTTCTCATTTTATCAGTGTGTTCTTGGGAAAAGGAACAGAAGGCTCTTTTTATTTTTTCTTTCTTCTCTTTTTAATCATTTTTTAAAGGTTTGTCTATCTTGTCTCTCTCTCTCTCGTGTGTATGTGTGTGTGTGCGTGTGTGTGCGTGTGTGTGCCTCCTGCTGCTTCTTCCTCGAGGCTCTGTTTTGTCAAGTCTCCCCCACATCCACTCCCATATGTTGCACACCATGGCACACTGATGTGAACCGGTTTTATTTGAGGGGTTCCTCCAGCAAGCATTTGCAGACCCTCATGAGAGCACAGCTCAATTCTAGAACCTTCTCTTTTTTCTTTGTATGAGGGAACTTTTTAGCATATTTTGGAGCTTAAAATTTTATCCAGAAATGCATTATAAAGTGAAGCTGGCCTATTGAATAGATTAACACACAACTCTGGATATACATCAGGGTGAAAATATAAGAAGTGACTCATCAACAAACCCCAAATGGAAAAGGAGAGCAGATGGTTGTTAAAAGAAATCTAAGAAAGCCTAGAAAACACAGGGTGGTGGAGACGCTAGCAATGTGAAGTCAGGGGCTGTTGTGTGCTCATTGTCTTCCCTGCAAGAAGACTGGCTTATTGTTGTTGGGTTTTGTTGTTATTGTTTTAAATGGGGAGACGGATATGAGGATCAGTGTTCAAGCCCAGGGTCTGGAGAAGTGGCGCACATCTGTAAGCCCTGCGCTGGGGAGCAGCAGAGTCAGGTGGCTGCTTAGGCCTCACTGATCTGTCAGTCTAGATGACATGGCTTGCTCCAGGGTGAGTGAGAGCCTGTTCCAAGAAGTAAGATGGAAATCCATAGAAGAAGCACCTGAGGTTCACTTCCAGCTGCCACAGGAGCACAAAGGGGCACTGGCACACTTTCCCAGGGACAGGCACAGGGGTTCAAGTTCAAGGTCATCCATGGCTAGCCTGGGGTTATATAAGACCTGTCACAAAACAACCAGCAACAAAACCCAAACCAAACCAAACAAAAAACAAGGGTGAAGCCAGGCACGTGCCTTTATCCTAGCACTCAGGAGGTAGAGAAAGGCAGACCTCTCTGAGTTCTAGGCCAGCCTGGTCTACATAGTGAGTTCCAAGACAGCTAAAGTCTATGTAGAGAGGCCCTGTCTCATTTGAAAAAAAAAAAAAGTCAACTAAGTTCAGTTGGTAGAGTGTTGGCCTGTATTCAGCTCCCAGGACCACATACACTGGTTGTAGTAATGAATGTCCATAATGGCACCACTCCTAAGACCAGAAGGCCAAAGTCATTCTCAGCTACAGAGTGAATGGGAGCCAGCCTGGGCTCCAGAGGGAGCTCCAGGACAGTCAGAGCTGTTATACAGAGACCCTGTCTTAAAAAGCAAAACAAAACAGAAGAACACATAGTAGATATCACACATGCTGCATTTATTATTCTAATTTACTATCCTAAGAAGCTTATAAGGTAGATCTTATTATCTCCAGATTACAGGCGGGGACTCTAAGATGCAGACAGGTTAAGCAACTTACTTCAAGTCACCCAGCTAGTAGGTAGTCGATTGAGGGGAGTCGGATCCTGGCAGTCTCGGAGCCCAGTCCACACCCTCAGCTGCAGTGCTGCATTCTACCCAAGACACGCTGTGTCAGCTGTGACACGGGTAGCCACAGAAGGCCATTTGCCAGCCAAAAGGACTTTATAAGCAAAGTAAGAGACGCCTCTATTTCTAGAAACATTCTTTTTTTTTATGTATTTATTATGTATACAATACAGTGTGCTGCCTCCATGTGTGCCTGCACGCCAGAAGAGGGCACCAGATCTCATTATAGATGGTTGTGAGCCACCATGTGGTTGCTGGGAATTGAACTCAGGACCTCTGGAAGAACAGTCAGCATCCTTAACCTCTGAGCCATCTCTCCATCTCTCCAGCCCCTCTAGAAACATTCTTGAGAATCCTAATAATATCATTGCTGTTTGATTCAGCACTTTTTTTTTTTTTCGAGACAGGGTTTCTCTGTGGCTTTGGAGCCTGTCCTGGAACTAGCTCTGTAGACCAGGCTGGTCTCGAACTCACAGAGATCCACCTGCCTCTGCCTCTCGAGTGCTGGGATTAAAGGCATGCACCACCATCGCCCGGCTTGATTCAGCAATTTTTGTGCTAAGCTTTCTGTACACTTTATCATATAACCATCTGCATTATTTTTTTTTCCAATTCCATGACAAGAGTTGGGACCTGGAGAGATGGCGTAGCAGTTAAGAGCACTGGCTGCTCATCCAGAGGTCCTGAGTTCAATTCCCAACACCCACATGGTGGCTCCCAGCCATCTGTAATGGGGTCTGATGCCCTCTTCTGTCATTCGGGCAAATAGAGCACTCATGCATAAATAAATCTTTTTTTTTTTTTTAAAAGGAAGGAAGGGTTGTGTTGGCTCCTGGCTTGATGGTGTAGCTCGTCATGGTGTAGCCTTCCCAACGCTGTGACCCTTTAATAAACCTCCTCATGTCGTGGGGACCCCAACCATAAGATTATTCTGTTGCTACTTCATAACTGTAATTTTGCTACTGTTATAAATCGTAATGTAAATATCTGATATGCTAGCCCCAAAGGGGTCACGCCCCACAGTTAAGAATCCCTGGTGGAGACAGTCACAGGGGATCCACTCAGGAAGCAGAAACAGACAAGCAAGTGCTCAGCTTTCTTTGTATTCAGTCCCTCACAGATGTGTTCAGAGGTTTCTCTAAGTGACTTCAGAGTCTGTCAAGTCGACGGTCAAGTAGCCTTCACACCATCACAACACGTTTCTGTTTTGTTTTGTTTTGAGATAGGATCTTGCTCTGTGATCCAAACTAGCTTGAAACTTGGAATCCTCTTGCCTCAGTCTTTCAAGTGCTGTAATTACATCCATGCGCTATCAATCCCAGTGCACTGACTCGGATTTCAGAGGAGACTCAGAGAAGTTGAGAAGCTTGTTCTTGAGTAGCAGAAACCTGGAGAGCTTTTAGCGGCTTTTTAGCCATTCCCCCACTGAGTTGGAGGACATTCTCCCCCCTCTTCTCCCCCAGGGCTTCAGGTGGAGTTCATCAATCCCATCTTCGAGTTCTCCAGAGCCATGAATGAGCTGCAGCTGAACGACGCGGAGTTTGCTCTGCTCATCGCCATCAGCATCTTCTCTGCAGGTGCGGAGGAGGGGCAAGAGGGAAACTGAGTAAGAAACTCCAGGAGGCAGGAAGCATGGGTGTGGAGGACCCTGCTTGGGTTACTTGTGGGTGAGAGGTAGGGTGGGATGGGACACGACCCTATTTGGGAGTTGTGATTTGGGATATGGAACCAAGACCTTGGCCAGACCTGCTCCTCAACTTTGTTGGTGACCTATAGACCGGCCCAACGTGCAGGACCAGCTCCAAGTGGAGAGGCTGCAGCACACATATGTGGAGGCCCTGCATGCCTATGTCTCCATCAACCACCCCCACGTGAGTCTTCCCAGTGCCTTTCCTTCTGCTCTTCAGGCCCATTTTCTGATGTCCACTTTCTTTCAGACTTCTGCCTACACCTAGCAGGGGCAGTTCCCTGCCAATCTCACCTTCTCTAGGGAAGAGCAACAGCTAGATTTTTCCTTCCTTTCTTTTCTTTTTTTTTTTCAGGACCGACTGATGTTCCCACGGATGCTAATGAAATTGGTGAGCCTCCGCACTTTGAGCAGCGTCCATTCAGAGCAAGTGTTTGCACTTCGCCTGCAGGACAAAAAACTTCCCCCACTGCTGTCTGAGATCTGGGATGTGCACGAATGACTGTCCTTCCACCATGTCCTCTGTGTTGTGGGCCACATGACGGAGGCTTACTGACTGCTTCCTAGAGGTGGAGCAGACTGAGATGGGCAAACATTCCTGGGGGCCCGGAGAAGGAGATCCTTGCATGGCATTAAAGGAGAGTCAGAGGGTTGGGTGTTTTGTGGCTGCTGGCCAGTTGGGGACCTACTAACTTTGTGCACCATCTGAAGACCTTATTGACCCAACCAAATAAACTAGCCAGGTAGGCCACTTTGCACAGGCCTACCCATCTTGCCTCTACCACTTCCTGTTTTCCCCCATAGGGCCCCAAAGAAATTCTCCACTATCACTCTGCAGCCTGGCTGCTTCAACAACAGGCACATGGAACAGGAAGGCCAAGATGAATACAGAACTAGGGAAATAAATTTCTGGATCTGGGCGGGAGTGCTGTGGAGGAGGAACCTGTGTCCATTAGGATCTGCCTCCAGACTCAGCAGAGGGGCAAATCACAGATGACATTTTCTGTTCACTAGGTCCACGGCGTAAGAGAAGTGCTTGGGCTTAGGTGCACCTTCCCCTTTAATTATCCAGGTAGGAGCAGGTGCTCTTACTGGGGGGGGGGGGGGAGCAGTAACTTAGCGGTACACTTCGTGTGTGTGTGTGCACTTTTAACATTGGCATCTGAAAAAGGAGGACAGCTTTAAAGACTCAGGGCCGGGTAATCCTTCCCTTCGGTTTCTGGGCCCGGGGGACTCAAAGAAAAGTCCCTGGAGGCTCGGTGGAGGATGACCAGGGTTTGAGTTGTCAAAAGGACTGGACTCCATTTCCCAGCGGGCCTCGCGTCACCGTTCTCGTTTCCCTACCTTGGTGTAGGTGCTGCCCTGGCAGCGTCAGCCCCGAGCGTCCCCGCCATCCAGAATTGGTTGAGTCCACCGGCCTTCTAGTTGGCTTTCCTGCCGGGCCGGCTGGGCACGTCCAAACAGCGTGCAGGGGGAGCCAGATGAGGTTTGAAGAAACTGTCAGAAAGTCTTAGGGGCAGTTTATCTTACGAAGTATTTTCATATTAAACACTGTTTCGTCAAGACGGGCTCTATATCCAAGTAGAATTAAAAACCGTTTGAGTAATCAAAAGAAAATGTATTCCTTTGGGTCCTCCCCTTGGCACCTACCGGCACTGGGCTAGCCCAGTGCCTCCCATCGCGTTCCCACTCCCACGGCGGTAGGTGTGCGTAGCCGCTCGGTTTGGTGCAGCCCTGTTCCCCGCGGCGAATGGTACGGCCCGGGCCCCTCAGCCGCCCGCTTCCCGCAGCAGGTCTGAGTGGGTCGCACCCCCGGTGCGGACGCGGAACTGGCGCCTGCTCGCCGTGGCGCTGGGCTCGGAAGCCGGGAGGCGGCAGGCGGGCCCGACATGTTCCTCTGAGCTGGGAGGTAGGGGAGCGCGCGACGTGGGGAGCCCTGCGTGGGGCTTTGAGAGGAACCGGCGACTGCCGGAGGAACGGGTCTGTGAGGCGGCCCAGAAGGAGCGAGCGAGGGGGCGTGGAGCCTGCGGAGAAAGTGCCGCGGGGTCCAGGCGGGGCGCCCGCGCTGCCCAGGTGCCCAGGTGCCCAGGGCTGGGCTCGCGCTGAGCGCCGCCGCTCGCCCGCTCGCCCGCCGGGTTCCGGGGTGGGGGCGAGGAGCTGTCCAGCCCCGGGCCCGAGGAAGGCGCCAGCGCCTGGCGCGTGTGCGCGTGCGTGCGCACGCCTTATTTTTGATTAGCGTTTGAAGAACCACGTTTGATTCTCTAATATATACATATATATTTACATTTTGTCCTTCAGTATTGACTTGCTGAAGACCAGGCACACCATTTAATCTTTCTGCAACTGCTCCCTCCGTTCCCCGGCAGTTCAGTTCTTCCTCGTGCTCTCCTCTCCTCCTTCCTCTGTCCTAACCATCGCTGGCTTCATTGCACCAGTTCTCCCCCACGCTGGACCAGTCTGCTGATGAGCTTGCAAGGTCACTGCCTGGGGAGGAGGAGGAAGGGGAGGAAGCCTCCCTTCATGCTCACGTCAGCGAAGATGTCATATCGTCCTTGGGTCGAGTTCCTGCCTCAACTGAGGGATGAACCCACAGGGTTGGTGGCATGGCCATTGTAGGCTGAAAAGACAGATTACCACAAGATCCGTGGTTTCCAGACGTGGTGGTGATGTAGGATTATAGCAAAAAGGAATACATTTAGAAATTTGGACTACAGTGGGACAGGCAAGGAGCTCCACCTCAGTAAATAAAATTGAAACAAGAGGCAGAGTCCGATTCTGGCTGGTTATGAAGACTGCATGAGTTATAGGTGGCATTAGAGGATTTAACGTCTGTGGGGAAGGCAGAGAAGGAAAACAGCCTTGGTTATCTCTGTAGCCTGAGTATCTAAAGTCAGCTCTGGAAGGAGACGAAGGAGTAGAATACGGTAACTGGAGTGCGTTGGGAGAGGGGCTTTATCTCACCAATACTGGAAAGGCCCCTGTAACTAACTTACTAGTAGGAGAAAACTTCTACACCACCTTTGGGATTTTAGCTAGAGGATGCTGTTTCTGGTTTTCAGTATAAACCTTCATTCAAAGACAGCCTACAACTCAGGTCCTACAAATTCTGTTTTGTGATAAGGTGCCGTATATGGGTCTTGTTGATAGCTAGATATTTCTATATAGAACACATGACTTTTGCCTTTATCCCATTTCATAGCTCCGTTTTTCTCTTTCATTTTTCTTAGGAGAAGGGGCACGCCGCTCTATCGGGGTGACCCACTTCTGCAGTAAGCTCATGGCAATGAGCATGGTAGTTGGGGTTATTAAGAGTGATGAACCCCAGAAATGACTGAGCATGTGGCATGCTCAGGAACTTGGTGTGAAGAGCGATTCCTCTTAAAAGCTGCTAGTGGGATTTAAGAAAGCAAACAAATGCCAAAGTGAAGATAACCTGATCCTATAGGTGCTGCCAAGGGTATAGGAGTCTCCAGGGTTAGGAAGAATGAAGTGCTATGGGCCTTGGCTAACTTTGGAGTATTAGCCGCTAGCACACTGTTCGGTCACCAAGCAGGGGAGGGGCTCTTCTATAAATAGTGCTTGGAGTCAGAGTCGCTATGGAGACAAAACTGAATCCTATTACCTATGGGTCCTCTATTGAGAGCAAGGGGGAAAAAGGAACAGTATTTTGAGGACACGAGAGGTATTGTAAATAGATTTTGTTTATGGCTAGAAGAGGTCAAAAGAACTCACTACCTAAATCAAATGTGCCCTCAGTATTACAGGTAATGTTCGTGTCTGCAGTATGGGAGTGGACACATCAAATGAAGTGGAATGTGTTTAGGTGTGTGTAGTAGTGTAACAGGATTGTGTGTGTAGTAGTGTAACAGGATTGTGTGTGTAGTAGTGTAACAGGATTGTGTGTGTAGTAGTGTAACAGGATTGTGTGTGTAGTAGTGTAACAGGCTTGTGTGTAGTAGTGTAACAGGATTGTGTGTGTAGTAGTGTAACAGGATTGTGTGTGTAGTAGTGTAACAGGCTTGTGTGTAGTAGTGTAACAGGCTTGTGTGTAGTAGTGTAACAGGATTGTGTGTCGTAGTGTAACAGGATTGTGTGTCGTAGTATAACAGGATTGTGTGTGTAGTAGTGTAACAGGATTGTGTGTCGTAGTGTAACAGGATTGTGTGTGTAGTAGTATAACAGGATTGTGTGTAGTAGTGTAACAGGATTGTGTGTAGTAGTGTAACAGGATTGTGTGTAGTAGTGTAACAGGATTGTGTGTGTCGTAGTGTAACAGGATTGTGTGTAGTAGTGTAACAGGATTGTGTGTAGTAGTGTAACAGGATTGTGTGTACACATATGCATGCATACAGTGAACATGGTCTCAGTGTAGCCATAGAAGCGAAATCTGGGAGGAAAACATTTTATTTAGAAATATATGTCATAGACAGCTGCCTGGGAAGAGACAGGAGTGGTCGTAACTGCTGAACCATTTCTCTGGCTCTAGGTAATAATTAATTTTTAATATGTTTAGAAATTTTCCTGCACACCTTCTCTGTACTTGGAGAAGACCTAGTATTTTCAGTCCCTAACTCATAATCTCTGTGAGATAGACTCCTGGGAACATGTTTTACTTTCAAATCCCAAAACCAAACTAGACAAGAGCTATTGGTTCAGCACCAAGGGCAGAGGTAATAGCAGTTACTGGGGCCCCTTTTCTAGCTTGTACTGGGAAAACTGGTTAGGCCGGGCAGTGGTGGCCTTTAATCCCAGTACTCAGGAGGCAGAAGCAGGTGGATCTCTATGAGTTCGAGGCCAGCCTGGTCTACAAGAGTTAGTTCAAAGCTACAGAGAAAACCAGGAAAAAAAACTGGTTAGAGATGATGTAGTTGAGACATAGCTGGTCTTCATGTGACCTAGAGATCCAGCTGCTGTTACTGTCTGAGTGCAATTAACTGAAAAGTCTATATGATAGTTCCACATCAAGATGAAAGCCGCTTAGTGAGACAGAATAATTTGGTTTCCATCTAGATGTAAAAGCGCAGATTAGTGCTGTTCAGAGTCTGGTTTGGCTTGATCGCTGGAGTAGTCCTGACAGCGACTCCTGTTATCATAATTATTCAGTCTAGATTAGACTGTCTAGGTCTGGTTTCCAGAAGCAGAGCCCCAGGAACGAGGCTGGAGATGAGCTCGTTAGCAGTGCTGAGCCTATTCCTACAGCTCTGCCTTCTCCTTTCTGTGCTGCTAAAGATGGAAACTGGGGCCTTGTACAGTCTTAGCTCAACCAGTAAGCTATATCCCTCAACCCTGTTCTACCTGAAATCTGACTCTAGGCGCCCATAAACCTAGACGGCCACCAGTCCACGCCAGTGCCAGATTCTATCCTGAGTGCCCTGGCTGGGATGGAACTGAGAGGATGGTTTCCTTAGGCCTAGATGGGTATGTTTCTCAGTACTTTTCCCCTGTTGGATTTTCAGATTATATCAGAATTCCTCCTGGGAACGCTGACTTCTCGCCCAGTGCCCCGAAGTTTCTCTGCAATGAACTGATAAATTGGAACCATGGTGCAAAAGAAGTTCTGCCCTCGATTACTTGATTATTTAGTGATCGTAGGGGCAAGGTAACCAAGAAGACTGATAATTTTCTTGTTTTCTGGGGTGGCCACAATGTCCTGACCTTATTTTCATGTTGCTTTGCATATCTTATTCTTCCCATTGTTATTCCCTGATGGGAACATTGATGTTGGTAGGGAAAGTCATACATTTAGGTGGTGTAAGAATATTAGTCTTGGCCGGGCGATGG